GTCGATTTTTTAATGAAAAGTACATCATTTTACAGTATATTTCTTGGAATTAATAAACAAGACGGTTTCTTATTATTAAGGTTTTAATTATTACATTATAATGAAAAATATTTATATTTGAAATTTGATTAAATATTTATTCAATGAGATGCTTTAAAATAGTCTAATTGTCATATACCTATCACATGCTATGAATTAGCATTCGATCGATTGGCCCGATATGTTGGGTCGGGACGTTCACTCTAAACAAATATCTTCCTTCCCACACAATTTGTTATATCATCGTATGCCAAATAAAGTCTAAAGTCACGTTAAAGTATAGCTAAATAAAGTATTAATATGCGTACATTTGATTACTGTGCTAAATATAAAAGCGGATCCACTATAATTATTTTTAATGCATTTATTAATCATCGCCTAGTCGTTTAATATACAATAAAATATAAAGAAACAAATCAAATAGAAAATCCAGAATATGCAAATAGTTTTATAAAAATTAATATAATAGGCTAATAGTAGCTCATAAACAGATTGTTTGTTTCAACGTATAATTGTTGTAAGCCTCACTCGTAGATGTTCTATAAACGCAGTCTGTCTAGACTCGTGTCATTACAATAAACCTCTTAAGATAGATTAACACAAGTATTGTCTTAAACGAGGTCACTGACACTTTATTACAATTATTTTTCATAATATTCCTATTAATTATTATTATAATAATTGTCTAGTTTCTAAAAATGTAATGTTTAGAAAACCCGATCATAGAGAGTAGTAATGTAGAAGTGTCTATTATAAATTACTAGCTACTCGTCCCGGCTTCGCCCGGTTGTACATGTATTAGATACTAAATATAAACCTTCCTCTAGAATCACTGTATTTATTAAAAAAAACCGCTTCAAAATCCGTTCCGTAGTTTTAAAGATTAAGCATACATAGAGACAATCAGCGACACCGACTTTCTTTTATACTATGTAATGATTTCGTTACAGTTTCATATATTGAACCTATGTTTAATCATATTCTTGTATCGTAACAGTATTTTTCTTCAAATCTATATTATATATAATTGTATATTGGATAACACTCACAACTTTATTTTGAATTTTACACAATATCATCGTAATCATAAACTATACTATACGTTAAAGCCCTTAAAACATATTAAACTGAATTTTAAACTAGATATATATATATATATATCTTAATAAAGTTCAAATGATATAAACATAATAACTCTGGACGGTGTTGGAAATTAGAAGTAAAAAACTCCACTTCTAAAGCCACGTATGACTCCACGTGGCTTCATAATAAACTCGTTCAAATCCAAACAGGCGGCCAACTCCGAAACTAGCAAACGATCAACAAAAACAAAGGCTCGTGTACCGAGCAACAGGTACCTTCACGTACAACAAATATACAGCCAAGGTGCACGTATACACTAGGCGAACAGCGCGGCACAGACAAGAGAATATTCACTCGAAACATCCCGAACACATGCCGTATAACAAAAACGTTTAGGACAGTTATTTAATCTATGTAAATGAAATTCCACATGACTCACAAAACTTAAAATTCCAAATTTAAATTCAAATACCTACTCAGCTCGACAAATTTTAGGAACCACGTTCGGAATTTGAAATTCAAAAGATTTATGTTGAATTTAAAATTTGAATTCGGGAAAGAATTTGTGATAAATCGTGTTATTGTTTCATTTGCAGCCGAGGTTTATAATATTGTCCTTCAAGCTGCCAACAATGAGAGGCGGCTCGTGTCGACGAGAACGAACTTCCCGCCTATTGAATTTTCGCTTACAAAGGAAAGTTTTCAGGAAACGTTCCGGGTCACCAGCTTTGCAGTTTCGTTTTATATTTAAGTGTAACTTTGACGAAATTGTTAAAAACGAATAGTGTATTCAATTAAAGTTTGAAACCCCGATCCGGCTTTTGTGTCTGAATTAACTGTTTAAATAACTTCTCTACATTAAGTCTGCCGTACTACGGGTGCACTTTCTGCTTAAATGAAACGCATGCATGGTAAATGGGTAGTGTTTTTAACACTGTTAATAAATTAATTTTATGTATAATTTTATAAAAAGGCAATACTGGCCAGCTACGAAAAGCGTTGGAAACTAATTAAAAACATCAATTCCGAGCGCTACGCTACGGGGGAATATTTCAAACTCACACACACACGTTCACCCCCATGCACACATTTGCGCGTGAGACGCACACAACAGTTAAAAATAAGTCTCGGGCCATATCCGCGTGAGAGAATGGTCCCGCTGTTGTTCAACGCCAAAACAAAGTATCTGGCAACTTGAAAACAATCTTTAAACGTGACAAAATCTATTCCTTGAGTGAAAAATGTTTAGCTTACATACACCAAATTGGTCAGACAATTAATAGGAAAATAATTTTAATCACAATTCAAAACGTGATAATTGACAAGTACGTTTTGAATTACAATAATTGCCACTTAAACTATGGAGTAGTACGTGTATTTTGAAACTCTTTATTATCTAGTATTAGATAGGTGCTGTATTGAAAAACAAAAAAATGTTAATAATTTTGGAGCACAAAATATTACATCGGTTATCTGGTTGTTGAAGTGAACAGTTGCCCAGTCCTAGAACTTATCCGGGGGGAGACGGGGATAGCCGAGTGTCTTAAGGCGGAGCGGGACGGAATGCTGAAACCGAGTTATCGTAAATTGATCTGGGGCGGGGTGGCGCGCCAGGGTGGCGGCGACGCGGTTCCAAATTTGACAGCGATGGAAATTGGCGGGAAAGATTATTGGTTGCATCGCGCTCGATTTTTTGTTTCGAAATTTCAAATTCGCATACATTTGTCTCGACGATTTTATACCGTCGACTGAATGCGAAATGAAATATCAAAGCTGAAGAATTTGGAATTACAATTACGTGACACGTATTTGTGTAGTAGAATAACACGCATATCTGCGTTATGTAGGTCACGGACGAGGAAAATTTTGCGTTTTGTACTTTTTTCATTATGTAGTAGGTAACAGTATTCTCGGCACTATTGTAGCTTCCGATAGGCTAGATAGCTTTAGATATGTTACACACTTATTTGCGAGCAAACTCCTTTGTGTCTTAGACGCTCTAGCTCACGTTCGAGCGGTCTCATAAAAGCGTACACACACCAACATCTTAATAACAGAATCCGAACGCTTCGAGCGATTTTAAAATAAGAATATCATAACTGGCCACTGGGAGGAAGGGAGGTGGATTTCGGAAGAACGTTCGCACCCCTCTCAAGTTTTTAAAATAAGAAAATTTCGGTGGAGCGTGATATTTTTAAAATAAGAACCTCTTTCGTGGCATATTCCGTGGAGAGAGATTTTAAAATAAGAATAGTTTTGCAATGCTCCCCCGCCCCTTCGTCTGGAGTTTGAAATAAGAATTTGGGGGCCAGATTCGGGTGGTTCGGGCATATTCGGTGGGTGTTGGGGACTTGGGGTGTTCCTTGATGAGAACGGAGGTTTTTCGTGGAATTTCGTTAGCTCCTTTCGCCGAGGTCATTGACCGTCGGAGTCGATACTGGTTCGATGGATGTAGTACTAATTGGTTTTCAGTTTTTATTTTCTAAGATGTCTGTATAGCTTTCGTCTGGTCTCGTTGTTGTGCCTTGTATAGTTATCAGTTCTAGCTAATGAAATTCGTGTTTGAGAGTCAAAGTTTTTAAAATGCGCTATGGTTTGCAAATATGTATTAGTTTCAGTAGTCGACATTATTATGAAATTATTTTCATGATAGCTACAGGTGAATTAGATTTAACTTGATTACATTAATTAGGACTTTGTATCATAGCTAGTAGAAATTATTTAATACTTAAACAGACAGAAACAGTCATATTGAAGAACATATTTTATAATATCGTCTTTTGTATATGGAACTATGGCTACTATGGAACTAATTTCCACGTATATAGATAGTGATTATCCTAAACAGATTCTGTCAGTTAATATTAATTAAACATTCAATAATAAGCTTATAGTTATATTCAGATATTTATGTTTATACTTAGGTAAATATTTGCAGATAACTTCAGTACAAACTTTTAATTGAACGTATATATGTCCATTTTCAGATGTTATCATGTATCAATGATATTAATATCTATATGTTTTATGCGCATATCACTACTGAATTATTTTCTTCAGAGTCTACTTATGTATGTATCTCAAAGTAACCGTTTCAGCCGCCAAGCAACTTGTTTTGTAAGCTGTTTCAGTTGTAGGTGAGATTAGGCAGTGAAATTACAGGGTATAGGTAAGGACGTCTTAACGTCCGTGATATTGTTCATGTATATTGGCGACATTTACTGTACCATATTCCACATAAGTTTTGAGACAATTTCATCTGACAGTCTATCTCTAGCTATGTTGTTTCTACGTTATATATCAATGGTGAACTAAGAACTTAGTGGAACAGTATTAATAAGTACAAGACACCAGGACAAAATTACTACTGAGACTATACACAACAAAGTTCTCTGACGCAAATGTACAGGGACTCGACCGCAGATAAACTGAGAATATGGGTTGGACAGAGAGAGAGAGAGGGATATCAGTCGTGAATATAATTTTATTAATTATATGATAAATCAATTATTTATATCCTATATGAATAAATAAATTTAAGAGAATGTAGATATTCATTTTCGTACTGATGAAAATGTCGAATGAGTGGTATTATAGGCATTCACGTGTGATCTGTGTGGTGGTGTTCATAGATGTGAAGGTTGCCACTTACTATCTGGTGGGTCATATTGGCCATTCATGCTTTTGGCGTATTCTTAGAATTTACTATTATTTTTGTTACCAGTTTGTTATATACTTAATTGTGGTCTTTTTACTCTATTATCTATTAAAAATGTTTTATCTATCTATCTATAATGAAGCGCCGTTGATGACGATGATAATGATGTTGATGATGATGTTGTTGATGATGATGATTTTCATGATAACGTATGTTCCAGGGTTGCCGTACGTATGCCATGGCGGAATGCTCGTTCGCCCGCTGCCAACAAGAACGTCGCGCCATACGCAAGGAACTGCAGCGTTGGACCAAGAACATGGTTTACATATTGGGTAAATTATCATAAAGTTATCTTTAATGTCCACCATCACGACTGTTACTGCTGTTGGGTAGTCAGAAGCATTGTCAAATGTTGATGTCATGGTTATAGCAACACTTGTTGCGACCTTTTTGATAGGAATGCTTGCTAGCCGCTTGTAAGACATATAACCAGGACAGATAGAACAATTTGTCGGCCTCGGTGGTCTAGCGGTTTATCACACCGCTTTATTTCCGATGGTCGTGGGTTCGCTTCCACGCACGGTACAAACATTTGTATTCATGATTATACATTATCGTTTGTGTCTGTCTATGTGTTTTCTGTATATATTATGTATGTATTTACAAAAAAGTATCTAAGTATTTGTATCAGTTGTCTAGTATCTTTAATGACCTCGGCGACCAGCAGACCGTTCAACATTTGATATGCTCACATTCGCAGGCTAAATTGCCATCACTCGAGAATAAGTCATTCAGAAAATTTAATTGACAAATCTTTTTTGTATCGGTATTCCTACTGAATAGCAACGCATGAGTAGTGTTACGGGTGTCACATGATAACGTCGCTCGTAGTGCTGTGACCGTAGCCTATATACTATAGGCTACGTATTACAGCTTTCCATTAGGTACGTTGTCTGTTTGTTTGCTATTCTAATTGAAAAATAAAATTAATATTTATACGCTCATCTTATTTTTGCTTCCGTTCCAACATATGTTTTAGATGTTAACTAGTAGTTTATGCTGTGGTTTCCTCTTCCCAACGCTTTAGTTCTATCCACATTTTAATTAAATAACCAATTTATGTATGGTAGCGAAGTTAGACTTAAACTTGCTATAATTTAACGGTATCACAGCATATGCTATGTGTGGGCCGTAGGTATAATTTGTTATACATTATAATATTTTATTGTTATTTTATAAAATCATGTTATTTGTTAACAATAGATTTCTTTTCTTCTTAGGAAGAATAAATAACTCTTCTTTATACATTATTTCTATGACACATTAAAACTATCATCCATAAAAAGAAAATAGTCAACTTGAATGGTCGAGCAAGTCTTGTACCATCGAAATTTATAAATCACAAAAATGACATCAAACTTAAATAGTTGAGTCAAATCTTGTTTCATTAAAAATGTTTAATCATAAATGCCTTAGATATTTTAACCTTAGACTAAGCGTAGCATGTTATGTTTTGTGTTTGTTTTGTATTCACAGCCTTATTGCGTCAGTTTAGGGTACCGCAGTGAAACAAAACTCTGTCCAGAACGAGAAGTGTTTATTGCGCAAAGTTTGAACTGAAAACATTTGGAAGTCTGATAACTTGTTGTTTGTACTGAAAACTCGTATATGTGAGGGCGTATACCGTCATTATTGAACTTTTGTGGCTGTTTAAATATTATTGTGTATCTTATAGTTGTTAGTTCTTATTTATCTATTTATTTATTTGTACACAAATTGTTTACATGGCGGACTTAATGCCTAATGGCATTCTCGTTGTTTAGAGATATTGAGACAGTGCAATTTAATAACTAATATTGAAATATGAAAATTGATCAATACATGTTAAATACAATATATATATATATATATATATATATATATGTATATATATATATATATAAACATACTAATCATCATCATCATCATCATCTGCTTCTTCCTTATCCCATTTATTTGGGGTCGGCGTAATATGTTTTTCTCTTCCATTCTTCCACATGTATGGTAAACATATTAACATACTCATGAAAATTTTATGATTAATATATACCTAAGCGAAATATATAAGCTCATGGATTATTATACAAATAAAATAACTGTTATACGTGATAATTATATTCACATTTTTTTTATACTATAAGTAAGGTAACAAGTAGAGGTATTATGATACAATATGTATTAATTTATTGAGAATATACGAGTATCCGTGAACTCGTATCTCTTATAAACACACACATTGATATTTTACGTGAAAATCGACTTCACATTCTTTTTTGTTTTGTTTGTTGAGTACTCTATCTAGTTATTTAATTTATCAATATTTATATGAGTATTATTTATTATATAGGAACGCTGATCTGGCGATTTAGCATAGTGCTTCCCTTTCTGGTGATCGCGGGTTCCAATACAAATAATTATATTGACTTTACTGTTTATATTAAACTTTAATATTCAATAGTAATTTTACAGGTAAACGTTGTAGAAAATCGTGTCTAAGAGTTACCGCTGTCTCGCTTATTGCAGCCGCTACGAAGCGTGCTTTGTAAAATGTATTCAGCTGAAGGTTGAGATAAGTTTGAAACCATTGAAACACAATTGAAACCATTCTGACTACTCTGTGCTGTTTTACAGATAAAAAATAATAAAGATAGAAATGAGTGTATAGGCACAAAACATAGTTATACTTTTTATATCTACATAAAAAGTGCGCTGAAATATATGAACTAGTGGTTTTCAGTTGCAAGTATTGTAGATAATTGACTAGGTATGTAGTGTTTATGTACTATTTAGTTTTATTTTTGATGGAGGATCATGTCCCACTTTCACGGACAGTGTATGCTAACAGAATTCAGTGAGAAATGCTATCGGTTAGTTGACATATCGTGCTAAATTTACTATGAATTAAGTAGGATAGTTCCGTGTGGAGGTCGACATGATGGGGTACATTATGTACAAGAGATCAGCTATCCTAATAATTATATGTGTATACATATACATAGTATATATATTTATTCAATGAAAACGAATACCACTAGGTATACTATAAAAAGAAGGGGGGAAAGAGGATTGTTAATCTTATCATCCTCCACTGGTGCCCCGCCAGCGTAAACCGTTAGCACAGGCGAGTGCACCATTCCATTATCATTCTTTAAAAAAAAAACTATAAAAAGAACGCTATGCTTATATTTGTTTCGGTATTTGTTACTTTCGTTTATTTATACTAACATTTTAATGACGAAATATTAGCTTTCTTTGTATGTTTGTTTGTAATAGATTAACTCAAAAAATTATATTTATTTTACACAAAGTTACATTATTATAGAAACTAACACTGAGTGTATTGCATATGAATAAAGCCGTAGGATATATCTAGTTTAGTAATATATTTTTTTAAGTTGAAAATATAATTTGGACACGCAATGATAAGGCTGTGCGGTCTCGATCGCATATCGCCTAATTCCAAACGCGTGGAGGTCGAGAGTTGCATCCTAGTGTTCTACAATGGGCGCAGACTAGTTCCGCCTTAGGGAATTTAGACATTATTATTACACAGAAAATATATGATAGGATTACATGAATTTTGAAGTTTATAAAAATAAAACGTGAGTCCACATATTTTTTATATTAACATGCCGCATGCCCACCGGTGGGTCACTCTGCAATGAAAATAAATTTACACGTTGGGACTGGGTGATCACCCGAGGGCACTTTAATTGAAATAAATCTAAATTGGTTAAATAATGTCTACCTCAATTATTTTACACTAAAAACATGTTTCAAAAAATAATATACGTATTTACAATAAAAAACCTATGTGAGAATTAAGATTTTTCAATGCGGTATTCAACGTGTTAACAATTACTGTGTGAGATATATATAAAATTATGGAAATTTATTCAATATCTTAGATGTTTATCTAAATAATTTATCTTAGTTTGTATTAAACTTGACGTAATAATCCGTATGTTCTGACATCTCGGAGTGTTTGTTATATACATACGTAACGGATTATTATAGAACATATTAATGTTAACATAATGTCGAAGAAATTGCTAACATCAACATACAACATTTTCATAATATTTATTGCAACTTACGAAAAATTAAAAAAAATATGATGCTTCTTTAAACATAGGTGAAACAAAGTTCCTTGTTGCTTTACTATGTCTAATTTTTAATTGGTAATTGAAGTATGTATATATTATGATCAAAATATCAGTGCGTAACTTCCGCGACCACTGTGGCGAGGTGCATCGGTCGGCCGCAACGCGCATGCGCGCTGCTGCCGCTCCACCAAACAACCTGTTGCAACTGGGCCGGCGTGCACAAATGCAACTATTCTCGTCCGCTATCAGGAGCAAAATTGTGTTATCTAGCCGCGTTTCGGCTCACATTCGGTATAAACAAATTCTAAATTTAAAATCTAAGTGCAACATTCCAAATTTGAACGCCGCGATTTAAATAAAAAATCGCATTCCTATCCGCTGGCCATTTCTTACGAGTGCGTTCAATGTCTTGAGACTTTTAAGACGCTTTAGTGAAGTGCAGTGAGAATTGATTAAAATAGGTGCTCCAGATTGTATATTTTATATCTATATATATGTTAGACTGTTAATAAATAAGTGTACAGTTATTTTATGAAGTAACGGTTCCTGTTGACAAACTTTATTGCCTACGTATTTACTGATAACATAAGGTTTTATACTGAAAAAAAAAGGAAAACATTGACATTTTTATAAAATCAGAACTTTAAATCGTACGTCAATTTTGAATGTTGAACTGTTTATCCAAATTAAGAATTCTAATTTGGACCAGGGAGTGGAGTAATTTGTCGGCCGGGTGACTATCAGAAGTTTATCGTCCCCACCGGAGCGAGACTTGGATGCAACAAGTGGTCGACTGATGCCTTTCCCGGTAAATGTGCCACTGTTATACGACTTTGCATGCCCGCTTTTGCGGGATTATGTTGCGTTTGGTACGTGCTACCGTCCCGTTCCGAGCAAATTCGGGATATTCTGGTTGTTACTGTTTGTTTATTCGGCATTCGGCCGGTGTCGTTGTTGATTTAGTTTGCGCTTTCTACCGTAAATCGTGTTTTATTCGCTTTTTCTTCATTCTTTTGTTTTGCGTGTTCCATTTATTTGAATTTTGCGTTGGATGGTGCTGAACGGGTGGGCGGGGCAGGCGATCGGTTTCTTTTGTTTTAAAAGGTTTCCACGCGCCATCTTAGGTCGATGACAAAAAAAGTGTCATGGCGTCTCTTGGCTAGTTTTGTTCTAGTTTCGTAAGACAT